CCCCAAAACCCCAAAACCCCAAAACCCCAAAACCCCATTTTTCTTGTAAATAGTTGACATTAATAATTCTTACAGAATACAAAATGGAGGATATAGATGTAGCTTATCCGGAATATGAGTGGATAGTAGAGCTAGGGCGTTTGGTAAGTCAGGATGGGGGAATGTGGGTGATGGGTGTTTTATAGACAAAAATTAGCCCAGCCAATGGGCAAACACCAAAGAAAGCCCTGTTTATTGAAAACAAAACCTTGCTTATACAAGAGGTCGATATGTCTCCTTCACCAATTGAACCTGAAGGAGGGTATAAAATTAAAGGAATCCTTGGAATCATACAGATTTTTCCTATTTCGTATCTTCTAGTGATAAAGGAGCATAAATTAGTTCATGAAATCACTATTCCTATTCGAATGAGGATCTATGAGATTACTGAAGTCGACCTGCTTATCCTTGATAAAGAAGGAGAAGAAAATGTTGAATACAAAGATGCTATTATTAAGATAATGAAGTTTGGCTTTTACTACTCTCCAGATGTTGACCTAACCCACAGGATACATGGTGACTTCAATCATTCAGATAGAGAAGAGAGGAAAACAGAACTGATCAAGGACATCCCAAAGGAAAATTTAGAGAATTTAGACAACCAAGATAAATTCTGGTGGAATAAAAGACTCTACCAAAATTTTGAGCTATGAGGCATCGCTGAATCTCCTTGGAGGATCAGGATGATTAGAGGCCATGTTGGATGAGAAGAGATGCTTCTTGGGATCAGCACCCAAATGAACATCACTCTTATATCAAGAAAAGCTACCTTAATGGGAGGTATTATAGATACAGGAATAGACGATGATGGAAGTGTCTCACACTATGTTGAAACTGAGCAATGTATTGAGATTGGAAGCAATTTCATTTCATTTGTTATGGTGAGAGGAGCAGTTCCATGATTCTACGACACTGAGCTGATAAGAGAGTTTGAAATGCACGACCCAGCGTTTAAATATCATGTTAAAAGCATGATTGAGGATTACGAGAAAGTTATCTGAATAAACTTGCTTGATATTAATAATCCTTATGAATTTTCATTGACTAAATTCTATGAGTTTTTGGTCAAAGAAAATCTTGATGCTTTTAAAGATTGTCTCAGATACAAGCTGATAAACTATAAAGAAGAAGTCCTTAAAGATGATATTGAGAAGAACAAACAGCTTACTGCTTCTGCAGAAGCAATGAAGTTTTTATGGATAACTTCAGAGGGAAGTGTCAAAAAGACTCAAAAATGAGCTCCTAGATTCAATTGTCTTCATAACCTTCACAGGTCAAATGAATGCCAACAGAAGATTTCTCTTATTGTTCTCAAATAAAATTATCAGAGCACTGCATGATGAATATGTAGTCGATGAAACCCAAGTCAAATGGAAATTACTATTTCCTAAAATTGAAGCAATGTATAAAGCAAATCAAGCTAAAATTTGTATTGAAAGTGGCTGTCACTGAATCGCCAGTAAGAAGCAAGAGGATGATGGATATTTCCAAGCAATGTACAGCCAAATAACTTCTATTGAGAAGTACTTCTACAATTTCGTTACTTCAATCCAAGCTAGAGAGGATAACTTATACCAAGAAGCACTAGGTAAAGTATTTAATTCATTTTCTAGAGTATATCAGAGGCTTGAATATGAATCAAGAAGGCGTAGCAGACAACAGCATTGATAAATAAATTATTCGAAGAGGAACAAAAATATTCCAGAATAAATCGGTACAAATTTGGGTTCCTCACCTGGAACCTAGCTGGCAAAAACTATGATAAATAAAATGGACTTTTATCGGACTCTTCATTCGAACAAGGAAACTCTTCATGAGCCAGCAGATATAATCTTTGTAGGGTTTCAGGAAACAAGAAAGTTGAATGCTTTTGCTATATTAAAGGGAGCCAGCAAGACTAGGAGTGGTAAGGACTAATCGTATTTTATGCTTATAGATCGACTCAAGCAAGAGGTCCTAGTAGCTCTCAACAAGATCGCAAGAAAGCACGACAGTGACTTTGACTATCTCTGCTTTGCAGAAGAGTCAATGTGAGGCCAACTGATCTTAGGATACTGTAAATCTTCTATAAAATGGAAGATAAGTAAAATTGCAATGACCAAAATCAAACAAGGCTTCGGTGGTAAAACAGGCAATAAAGGTGCAGTTGTCATTCGTTTTAACCTTGACAACACCAGTATGATTGTTGCCAATGCCCATCTTGAGAGTGGTAAGAAGCACCTTGCAGAGCGACTTTTTCAATTCAAAGATATCAAAGAAAACTGTATTGTGGGGAAAGGGAAGAAAAGTTACAAGTTTGAATCCCATAAATGCAAATTTTTCATTGGAGATTTGAACTTCAGGATAAACCTTGACTATGAAGAAGCAAAATCATTAGCCCAGAACTTCATGCCTGATGATAAGAAGATTTTGGAGGAAAAAGATCAGCTGAACATTGCCAAAGCTACAGAAGAATATTTGCAAGATATAAGAGAAGGGCCTCTTAACTTCCGTCCAACTTACAAATACGATGATAATAGTGATGTCTATGATACCTCAAAAAAGTTGAGAGCCCCAGCTTGGTGTGATAGGATCTTATGGTTCAAAAATGAGAAACATATTGATCAACTGAGTTATGAGAGAAAAGAAAATCAATTTTCTGATCACCGTCCTGTTCTATCATTCATGAGTGTCTTGACTTATACACACGACAGCAAGTTAATGAGAGAACTCAAGCAAGAAATGGTCAGAGAGAGAAAAGAAGAGTATTTTAGAAGTAGAAGGGACAGCTACTTCAGCTATGCAGTCACAGGAAAATTTGAAGAAGATAATAAGAGAGATTTTGAAGAAGATGAGATAGAAGAGTCACAAGAGACAGAAAATCAAGAATCTGAAAATACAGTATAAGGACTATGCAATTGTAGCCCTTAAAATTTTTAGCCAGGATCAAATACTAGCTTCAGATATAATCTCATTAAAATATCTACTTCTCTTGTTTGAAAGAATTTGTGAACTTTAGGGAATTATTTTATGCACTCAGAGAATGCACTAGGGAGAACCTGAAACTTTCATTTACATGCATCAAAATTTTAATACTTTCTTCGTTTACTGTATTTGCACTGAATATTTTAAATTTTGCGTTCTTTATATAATAATCACTTTATAAGCCACAAGTTCATACTTGGTGAAAGGGACCAGATTTAATGTAAACTGAACGCATATAACTTTTCTTATAATTCAACATAGAGCTCCAAATTAGGACTCCAAACATTTTTCACAAAGTTGTACTTTTAATTCCAAATAAAGGGATTTTTTATCAATTTCTCAATCTTATTAACAAGAATTTTACCTATACTTGGAATATCGTTTAATCTAAACTTCTGATGATGAGATAAAGCTATTTGGCTTTCTTTTAGGTAAGAGTTAATATCTTCTGGGCCATAATGATCTTTATATACTTAGATTCATCTGGCTCAATAATAATTATTGCAATTAGCTCAGTAACAAAAGATTCCATAATTACAGAGTAAAAATTAATCATAATAGTATCAAAGGAATTATAGAAGAGTGAAGAATTTATCCAAATGATCAGACTCTTGAATTTTTGTTGAAAGCTATTGGCTAATAAATATTTTCTTTATGATTCTTGGATCAATGCATCCAAGCTTGACAAGTCTGATGCATCCACAACATCATTTAATAATCTATAGCCTTGTTTTCTAAGCAAGGATGGAGAACAAGGTTAAATATGACTTTTGTAGTATATCCATATCTCACCTTTCCTGCTGTTTAAAATTTTGATCTTAAAAATTAATTCTCTCAGTACTAGTTATTAATCTGTATGCTTTTAATCATTCTTTGAATGAATCAAATGTTAGCTAATCTACAGGTTAGAAGCACTGAAGCAATAATCATGAATATACTTTCGATGTATTCAGGTGCTATAGCATCTGGTATAATTAGACTGAATCTGGAGTACATTTACTAAATCATCTATCCAATTTGAACTGCATTCTTGCCTGATTATCGTGGCTCATTACTTTGCTTCATGAACTTTGATTGGAGTTCAACTCACATCAATCAGTATAAAGTATCAAGAGTAATAGTTAGGTCGGTTTCTGATTCCATGGCTTGTTCTTGAGTACTTAGTCCTTTCCAAATTTTATTTTAATCCAGCCAAAGTTTAAAATATGGGGTTTTGGGGTTTTGGGGTTTTGGGGTTTTGGGG